CACCAGAGGGGGTGCGCAGGGGGTGGTCTCCCTATGCGTGCCAGGGTCGTCCAGGCATAGCAGGCGTGGCATTTTCTCGACACCAGAGGGGGTGCGCATGGGGTGGTCTCCCTATGCGTGCCAGGGTCGTCCAGGCATAGCAGGCGTGGCATTTTCTCGACACCAAAGGGGGTGCGCAGGGGGTGGTCTCCCTATGCGTGCCAGGGTCGTCCAGGCTTAGCAGGCGTGGCATTTTCTCGACACCAGAGGGGGTGCGCAGGGGGTGGTCTCCCTATGCGCGCCAGGGTCGTCCAGGCAAAGCAGGCGTGGCATTTTCTCGACACCAGAGGGGGTGCGCAGGGGGTGGTCTCCCTATGCGTGCCAGGGTCGTCCAGGCATAGCAGGCGTGGCATGTTCTCGACACCAGAGGGGGTGCGCAGCGGGTGGTCTCCCCATGCGTGCCAGGGTCGTCCAGGCATAGCAGGCGTGGCATTTTCTCGACACCAGAGGGGGTGCGCAGGGGGTGGTCTCCCTATGCGCGCCAGGGTCGTCCAGGCATAGCAGGCGTGGCATTTTCTCGACACCAGAGGGGGTGCGCAGGGGGTGGTCTCCCTATGCGTGCCAGGGTCGCCCAGGCATAGCAGGCGTAGCATTTTCTCGACACCAGAGGGGGTGCGCAGGGGGTGGTCTCCCTATGCGCGCCAGGGTCGTCCAGGCATAGCAGGCGTGGCATTTTCTCGACACCAGAGGGGGTGCGCAGGGGGTGGTCTCCCTATCCGCGCCAGGGTCGTCCAGGCATAGCAGGCGTGGCATGTTCTCGACACCAGAGGGGGTGCGCAGGGGGTGGTCTCCCTATGCGCGCCAGGGTCGTCCAGACATAGAAGGCGTGGCAGGGTCGTCCAGGCATAGCCTCGTGCGGGATTGCGTATTACCTCTAGTGACGCCGGATATGACCGTCACAGATGACTCCTCAACCCCTCCTCTCCCCCCACACGTCCTCCCCCTCCTTTCAACGACCACAGGGGGCACCTGAGAGCGTGACGGCGGTGGTAGTGGTAGCGCGGTTCACACAAGACATAAAATCAGTATGTGGGGTTCCTCGGTAGCGTAATTTTCTTTTCGCCGAGGGGTGGCGGATGAGTGGACGGAGGTGAGCCCAGACGCGTGGTGCCTGTCTTTCTCACACGTGGCCCTTGGGCATCCCTCTCCCTCCCCCGGGGCCGGCTTCTCCTCCCGAGTCGCGCTCCGACCGTCCCACGGCACAGCGGGGGCCTCCAGAGGCCGAGAGCGACGGCGGAGGCTCGTCCCGGGGTGTTGGTCAAGACGTTGCACGTCCGGGAGGAGGAGTGGGGGAGTGGGTGGGCGGGGACTGGCGAGCGGGCGAGGGGAGGCAGCGGCCGCGTCGCGCGCCCCTCCCTCGGAGCACCTGCAGCCCTGGTGTGGCCCACCGCCGGCGGTGGCGCCCGCGGACCTCCACATCAAGAGGAACCCCGCCCGCAACCGCCAGACCCTGTACCTGGCCAGGGCCTCGCGGGCCCCCGGTACGTCCGTCGAGACCTGAGCAGACCACCCAGGCATGCTCGCGTCGTGGACCGGGGCAGGGGCAGCATGTCTAGCCCCTGCCCTCTCGCTCGCTCGAGCGAGCGAGCGAGCAAGCCAGCACCATGCATTGAGTGTCCCGCCCGCCCCCCCCCCCCCTCCCACCGCTCGCCCGTTCGCTCGCTCTCTCGCTCGCTTGCTCGAGCAAGCGAGCGAGCGAGCAAGAGTATAGACCTCTGGGCGTCCACGTTGTAAGACAAGTGTCAGCCAGCGTTGGCCCCGACAGAGATGTCTTGCAGTCTGCGCGGTTCAACCAGTCTAGGTGGTGAAATCAATGTGGTGCAACCTAGGTGGTGCAATCCACGTGGCGCAAAGCAATGCAAAGCAACGCATAGCAACGCAAGGCAAAGCAACTCATGGCAACGCGAAGCAACGCAGAGCAACGCAAAGCAACTCAACCTAACGCAAATAAATGCGATTGCAATGCAACGCAATGCAATGCAAAAGCAACGCCAAGCAATGAAAGGCAATGCAACGCAACGAAAAGCAATACAATGCAATGCAATGCAATGCAAAGCAACGCCAAGCAATGTAAGGCGATGCAGCGCAAAACAATGCAAAGCAAGGCAAGGCAAAGGACAAGCAACGCAAAGGAGTGCACAGCAATGCAAGGCAATGAAAGGCAATGTAGCGCAACGAAAAGCAGCACAAAGCAATGCGAAGCAACGCAACGCAATGCAAAGGAACGCAGAGCGAACGCAAAGCAATGCAACGCGACGCCAAGCAGTGCAACGCAAAGCAGCGCCACGCAGCGCAAAGCAGTGCAAAGCACAATGCACATCGATGCAGAGCACTGCGACTGCAGCTCACATGCAGCGCAAAAGCCGGGCAGCGCGGTGCTCTTTGCGATGGCACGCCGTGCGGCGATTGCAGAGCGGCGCGGTTGCAGCGCGGCGCGGCTGCAGAGCAGCGCAGGCGCGGCTGCCGTGCGGAGCGACTGCAGCACCGTGCGCCCGCACCACGACGGCGTGGAGCTGGCTGTGCAGCGGGGCGGCGCTCGACGACCGGGCGCGGGGCCGCCGGGCCCGCCGACGGGCCTGGCGGCTGGAAACAGGGTGCGGGAGGGAAAGAAACACAGAGGCACAATGAATCGTCGACTCCCAAGAAAATATGGGAAGATATGGGAAGTGGGGGGGAGGACAAAAACCCCGAAAACATGAAAAAAGGGGGACATCTGTTATTTGCGTGCATTTTTTTGTGTGTGTGTGTGTAAGTGTGTGTAAGTGTGTGTAAGTGTGTGTGTAAGTGTGTGTGTAAGTGTGTGTGTGTGTGTAAGTGTGTGTGTAAGTGTGTGTGTGTAAGTGTGTGTAAGTGTGTGTGTGTGTGTGTAAGTGTGTGTGTGTGCGTGTGTGTGTGTGTGTGTGTGTGCTGTGTGTGTGGGTGTTGTGTGTGTGTTGTGTGTTGTGTGTGTGTGTGTGTGGTGTGTGTGTGTGTGTTGTGTGTGTGTGTTGTGTGTGTGGTGTGGTGTGTGCGTGCGTGCGTGCGTGCGTGCGTGCGTGCGTGCGTGCGTGCGTGCGTGCGTGCGTGCGTGCGTGCGTGCGTGCGTGCGTGCGTGTGTGTGTGTGTGTGTGAATGTGTGTGTGTGTGTGTGTGTGTTTGTTGCCCCAAATCCTTTTTAATGGTTTGGGTCCAATACGATGGGGGCATTGGACACGGAACCCTTAGATAAGAAACCCAGGGTGAAGAAGCCAGTGGGTCTCCAATCGTGGATGGGGCATGGATGCCACCTTGGTTCTGTTTAAAAGCACCTGGGCGTTTTGTTTTGTGTGTATGCTTTCTTGGTGTGAGAAATGTATTGTACTTTGCGTTCTTGACAAGCCCAAAACGCTAAAAATACGCAGCGTGCTTTTACATAGTATGGTGCTGCGTCTTTTTCCGTTTTAAGGCCCGTCGCTGTGGACATTCTTCCTTGGAGCGTTTCTGGCTTTCTTGTCAAAAGTTGCTCCTTGTTTTCACTGCCGTCTTCGCTCCCGCTCTCCAACTCTCTTCGCCTCCCCTTCCTCCCGCTCCGCGCGCGGAGCGCAAAGCTGAAAACGCCCCTCCAACAAAAACCCTAACTGGTGTAGCAACGGCGCGGAATATGCCTGGAGGCCCCGCGACCAGCCGTCAGCGACGACCAGCGAAGAGCAAAGCTGTTATACTAAACTATAAAGGGGGACTGGACGCAATGGGAAGGAACTGGGGACATGCTAGACGGCAGCGTTGAACAGCGCGGTCAGCTGATCTGAAAGCGCTAAAACGAAACGGATCTCAAGCCGCGAAATACTTGCTGTAGCGTGCTTAATTTTCCTGTCGGTGCCTGCAAGCGTCTCAAAAATGAGGTCCAACACGCTGAGGTTTTTATTCCCCATATCCTAAGATGGGTTCTTTTTTTTGGACGCCGCCGACCTCTCCTCCTTCTTCTCCTTCTCCTCCCCTCTCCTTACTCCTTCTCCTTCTCCTTCTCCTTCCCCATACCCAGACTTACTCATACACAGGCTGACTCACACTCAGACTTACTCATACCCAGACATACTCACACAAAATTGCTCATACTCAGACCTACTCATACTCATACCTACTCCTCCTCAGGCTTGCTCATGCTGAGCCTCACGTTCGCCCCGTTCGCGGCTGTTTTGTGGGGATGCCTCAAGCGGTTTGCCTGTTTTCTGTCCCAACATCCTTCGCTGTCGGAGCAGATTTGGAGGATGCCTCGAGCGAGGCGCTCATTTCCACGTCCCTAAGGGGAGCCGCCGAGTGGTGTGACACGGTCCCGTTCGCGGCCGTTTTGTGGGGATGCTTCGAGCGGTTTGCCTGTTTTCTCGAACCATCCACGTTAGGAGGACTACTGGGGCTCACGAACCTCCCAGAGGCCAGTCTTCGAGGCCTGGGGGAAGCTGCTCCTTGGTGAGCTTCACAGTGGCCTTGTGCCCGCCACTCTGGCTGCTCCGAAGTGGGGCACAAGCTTCCTCGAATTTCTTGGAGCCGAACCCGCCAACACCCATGCCGTCGACGCCAAAGGATCCCACGGAGGACCGAGGGATGGGGTCGTTGGCTGGGTGGATGGCGGGGCCTCCGACTTCTGCGCTAGCAACCTCCACTGGCCGTGAGACTCCCCCGGACGCCTGGGTGACCGAAGGGGAAGGGACCGAGCACAAAGAACGAACATCCAGCGTGCCGCGGACCTCTTGTGGGTCTTCCTCTGGCGCCTGGCGCAGACGATCTGGTCTCGTTGGATTTCTGGACAATGGGAGGTCGAGGTTACTCCGGATTCCATAACCAAGTGGGGGGGGTCACATTCGGGGGGGGGTCTAATTTGAGCTGTCTTGGAGGGTTCGGGGGGGTCTGGGCAAAAGGCCGCCCTTTCATGGATAGTCTTGGGGGTCTAAAACTTCTTGTCTGGGAGGGTTGTGACCCCCTCCCTTTTATTACGAAATCTGGAGTAAGCAATGGTGGAAAGCCTTATCGCTGCGTTCCCGCCGCAGGGCCCTCTTGGTCTCGGCGAGAGATCTTCCCTGTCGGGAGCCTGTGTCCAGCGCATCGTCCGCGCAGCTGCCGGCCGCCCGCAGATCTGTGCAGCAAGATTGTCCAGGGCCATCACTCGCTGCACAAGCTCTTGGGGGATGGCGGCTTGCCGCCTCACCTGCTGATTCGTCGGTTACGTTGTTTTACATGGAGAGCCCGAGCTGGAAAACAAGCCTGCCCCTCTGGGTCCGTGGCGTGTGGCCCGACAGTGAGGTATCGAACCATGCCCGCGTGCCCAAGACTCTCCAACATTATATACAGAACCTGCGATTCGAAGCCATCGAACTACAGGGCCCCTTGAGGTGCCCACGCATAAGATACGCAGGGCCAGTCACCACGACTAAGAAGTCCCCCCTAGTGTACCTGAGCCTTCCTCCTCCTCCCCCCCTCCTCCTCCTCTTCCTCTTTTCCTTATTCTTATTTTTCTTCTTCCTCCTCCTCCTCCTTCTCCTCCTCCCCCTCGCCCTCCTCCTCCTGCTCCTCCTCCTCCTTACCCTTCCGCCTGCTCCTCCTCCTCCTCCTCCTCCTCCGTCTCCGCCTCCACCTCCTCCTCCTCCTCCTCCTCCTCCTCCTCCTCCTCCTCCTCCTTCTCCTCCTCCTCCTCCTCCTCCTCCTCCCCCCCGCCCCCCGCCTTAACGTAAGCCGTGGAATTATGAAGGGGGGCCCCACTCCCGTTGACGGGCAACGGCCGGGGGGGCCAGCTCAGGGGAGAAACATCGACATGGAATCGGCGGTGCATGGCCGATAGATCGGGCGATAGGCCCCCGATAGCAAATCCCCACGCTCCTGGGTGGGGTGGGGCTGTATGTGAGACCCCAATCGGCGATCGCTGGACGATTGGGAGTCGATGCGTCCCCCACTGCGCCTTTGCTCCCCTCCTATCGTTGCCCCTGAATTGCCTGGGGGCGGGGCAGCGCTCCCTGCAACGGAAGATTTTATCATCGTTCTTTCCCCCTCGGCATTGTAACCCTTAGCCAGCGTTTCAGGGTCCGCTGCCTACTGTGACTCGCGTGATGTCGAGAAATGCGGCTCTGGTGATCTTGGGCCGCTCAAAAAAATACCTCGCGGAGGTTTTCGTGATTCTTTATAGACCTCCGCGCGTTGCGGAGATCCGGATGACGAGAAAGAGCGCCCGCAGGTGGCGGGTCGGGTGGCTCACTGGCCTCGCTGTACTTCCGGGCCAGGCTCCTACCAGCGTGCGGTAGTTCGCCCACAGTACACCCGGGGAGGCGACAGAGAGCTGGTGACGAAGGCGCCGCCACCAGCCCTCAAGATCTGCCGGAAGTGCGAGCTGAGGCCGCCGAGTCTTGATCCTCTTGGCAATTGTGATGTGGGGCGTCTCGGGGTAGAGGGCGGCGGAGGCCGCCTCCCGGTGAACGCGTTAAAGATGGGGTTGCTGGTCACGGAGGGCAGCTTCCCGCAGGTCAGCCCTGGCCGCGCGGTTGGCCACCAGCAGATTCCCTTGCCTCTTCCGCCGCAGCCGCACACCAGGTGCCGACACAGTCCCGGAGTCGACGGCGATGAGATATTGCACCATGGATTGGGGCATGGCCCAACAGGCAGGAGTCCAGTTCCATGCGGTAGCCAGCGCGCGCCGGCGCGAAATCGTCGAAAACGCGCTGTTTCGATGCTTCCGCGAACTCCCTCCAGCCGCTGTGGGTTTGGCCGTGCGCCAGGCTGCGGCCCACGCCGAGAGTAACAGCGGAGACGACATCGGCGACGAAGACCACGTGCGCATACTGGAGAGATCGGAGAGGGCTGAACGACTCCGGAGGCGCCTTCAAAATACCGTGCAAGACGTCGATGACCGCCTTGAGCAAGGGTTCTGGAAGCGGAAGAACTCGAGACAAATACGACAACACCGTGATGGTAGATGAGTTGTAGAACTTGATGGCTTCGAGTATGGTCGTTGGAGTGCTCTTGAGGATGGCCACTCGGGGCTGGTACTTGCTCGAGGCCGCGAGTCAGGAGTCCTCAAGGGTAGCACCTGGTCCAAAGACAAGTCCTAGGTACTTCCCCGCGGACTCGATCGTGAAGTCTTTCCATCCGACCTGCTCGGATCGAGTCCCGGACAAGAGCAAGCTGGGCCGTCGACGGCCATGGCGGGACCAACGCGCACTTCTTCGGCTGCAGGGAGAGGCAAGCCAACCAGCTCATGCCATCAAGGTGCAGAGCTTCCTCCTCCTCCTCCTCCTCCTCCTCCTCCTCCTCCTCAAAGTGAAGGGGCCCCAGGACACACAAATAAGTACACACAAATAAAAAGACTCCCCATCTTTTCCCATACTTTCTGGGTCTCTGTCGTCCCCCCCGCTTCCCATCTTTTCCCATATTCTCTGGGGGACCGAGGATTAATTGTGTCTGTGTGTTTTTTCCTCTCTTGACAAATCGGGGATGGACAGAACCCCCTTTAGTAAAACGTGGTTTAGTGAAAACGACCTCGGGCCCAAGCCTGGCGGGCGCAAGCCTGGAAAATGACGGCCGCGGCGCCCACTCGAGAACCGAAAACGGACAATTCACTGTTCGACGTGTCAGAGTGGGGGTTTTGTCCACCCCCGAACAAAAGATGAATCGATGTCAGCTCCCAGAGCACCGCGCCAAGATCGCCGGCGCAGAGCCCCAGCTCTGCACCGCGGCCCGGTCCAAAAATCGGCAGCGCCTCGCGTCGCGGGCGGGCCGGCAGGGACCGCGAGGACAGGCCGAGAGCTCCTAACATGTCGTCGCTCTCCTCCTCCTCCTCCTCCTCCTCCTCCTCCTCCTCCTCCTCCTCCTGGTCGCTCCTCCTCCTCCTCCTCCTCCTCCTCCTCCTGCTCGCTTCTCCTCCTGCTCGCTCCTCCTCCTGCTCGCTCGCTCCTCCTCCTCCTCCTCCTCCCCCTCCTCCTCCTCCTCCTCCTCCTCCTCCTCCTCCTCCTCCTCCTCCTCCTCATCCCCCTCCTGCTCCTCCCCCTCCTCCTCCTCCTCCGCCTTACATCGTGCCCAAATCGTGCCCGAAAGAGTGCAGTCTTGAGCGACCCCCGTCGGCATCTGACAGAGGTAGCAAGAGTTGGCGCCCAAGCGGGTCCAGCAGTGCTGCTCTTGGTGGAGAGCGGTGAACAAGTGTATGCATGTCGCAGGGGTACCGACCTGCTCGATGGCTGCGGCAAGCCACGGCCACGCCAGAGACGCGAAGGCTGCCGCCACGCCGAAGGAGGCAAAGCAGTGCCGTCGGCGTTGCAGCGAATCCGCATCGCCTAGCGATGCAATGCCAGCCTGTCGGTCCAATTTCCGCACGTTTGTGAGGAAGTTCCGTCCGCGCACAAATCCTCGTCGGGCGTGCGGAACACACCGTTCGGCAACCTTGGCCAGGTAGATGTTTGCGGTCGTGTCTTGCCCGGTTCGCGAGTGCATTCCGCCACCGATGGCGTCCCGTCAGCCTCGGGGGCAAACTAAAGCCATGCATGGTTGAGGCCATGAACGGGGACGCATCCCTGCATTACTGCCAACATCATGTTGTGCAAAATGTGTTTGGCGCAACGTGCCCGAGACATCCGCGAAGGCTCGCGCGATGGCCGTTGTGAACCGGAACCTCATGGTCCGCAGCAGGCTGTCGGACGCCAGTGCGAAGAGGAGTGGGGAAAGCGGGCACTTTTCTGGCAAACGTGAAAAATGGAGCCGTAGATAGTCGTGTATCTCAGCACTCGGGACTTCTTCGGCCGCGAAAGTGGGCTCCCAGCGCGCCCGAAGAGCCGACGCCATCCCCAGCGGGTCCGTGATGGTTGTACACAGAGGCAGCCGCCGTGGCCGGACGCGCTGGCCGGAGCATGCCCACCAAGGTCTGCGTGCTGTGGACAGGGCGCCGAGCCTTTGGCCGTGTCCTCCCCGCCCCGCCCTCGCGGCGCGCGGCCGTTCTGCGCGCCGTCGCGCCGCCGCGCCCGGCGGAGGGGAGCGTCCCCTGGCGGCCCAGGCCGCGCGGCGCGATCGCCTCGCACGCCCTCCGCTGGGCTTCGGTCGGGCGCGTCCCCCTGCAGGCGGTTTTTGGACGAGATGAAAAGATACTCGACAAACATGTTCAAACATACCCCAAACATAGCCTGCAAAATCATCCCCAGACTAATTTTTGACTATTTTGAGCATTCCCTCTGGAGAGGGACGTGCCCGACTTGACGCTGGGCGGCTGGCTGCTCTCAGACCCCCGACGTGAGTCGGAGGCGAGCGAGGTGAGGAAGTGAGAAGGAAAAGGCCTTCTCAGAAGGCGGCGGGCCTTCTCAGAAACCCTCGTGCCTTCCGAGAAGTGTTCTGCGTCGTCGGGCAAGGCTCAGGAAACTTCTCAGAAGGCCAGGTCGCGATGCTTCAATTTACTCGCGCCGTCGGATCTGAAGGCCTCACTTCCCTTCTAAGGAATTGGGCCCGTTCGCGACCCCGTTGGCCGTCCGTCGCCGCACCTGCGAGGCGGAGATTTATCCATATCCGCCGCCTGGGAACCGACGTCCTGGTGCCCGCCGAGATCCCTGGAAATTGATACGTTCCCGCCTCGGGGCACCCTTGCAGGGGCCGAAAAACTTACTTGGGAAAGGGTCGGGATCTCTGTGGCCGCGAACAGGAAAAAAAAATCGTCGGATGTCTGGAAGGAGGGCCTTCCGGACACTCGACGTCGTGCTTTGATTTTCGCAGCGTGGTTCCCCAGAGGTTAGGACGCCTTGCTGGGGACCGGGTCTGAATTGCGGGTTCGGAAATCCTGAACCCAAAAGCGTTGTCATCTCTTGGGGGCGCACCTTTTACTTTCGCCGCCTTCCGCTGGAGGAGCCGCCCCCATTTTACTTCCGCCAGCTTCCGCCGCCCTTCCGCCGCCTTCCGCCAGGAAGGACATGGTCCCAAACATGCGACGCCTTGATTTTTCAATACAGGCTCTCCAGGAGTCCCGACCCTTTCCTCGGGACCGGCGTTCCATCCTGAGTCGTTTTGTTGACGGTCCCGAGGCCCGGTCAGACCCCCAGAGGCCGAAGATGTCCAAAAGCTTCCCGTCTTGATTTTTCTACGACGCGAGCTTGTCTGGGGTAAGTCTTTCGATCCTCGAGGGCGAGCCCGTTGTCTGGAGCGCCCCACACCCAGAGCCGTTCTTTCGCGGCCCAAGGCTGGGATGGGCAAGCAGAAGTACACGGGCAACCTGTCGGAGGTGACGCCGCGGATCCTGAAGCTAAGCAAGTACTCCGTGGAAGTGCGGGAGCAAGGGGTTGATTGGGACTACGATGGGCAGGAGACCTTGGACTTTGGGATGTCGAGTTCGAGGAAGGATGAGGATGAGGACGGAAGGAGGGAGGAGGAAGTAAGCGGCAATCAGTAGGGAGGAGGAGGAGGAGGAGGCGGCTGCCAGCAAAGGGGAGGGAGGCGGTCGGAAGAAGAGGAGAAGGAGGGAGGAAATAGTAATGATAATAATAAGATGAAGAAGAAGAAGAAGAAGAAGAAGAAGAAGAAGAGGAAGCGGAAGAACAAGACGAAGAAGAGGGGCAGATGAGGCGGAAAGGAGGAGCGGGAAGAAGGGGTCACAGAGGAGGGAAAGAGCAGGGAGGGAGAAGAAAAGAGCAGGAAGGCATGAGGGGGCAGAAGAGAAGGAGGACCGGGAGGATTGGCAAGGCGGGGAGGACGGGAAGGCGGGAGAGAAGGACGAGCGGGAGGAAGTGGATGAGGAGGACAGGGGAGGAGCAGTGAGAGGTGGTCGGGGGGGGGGGAGGGGGAGCTGGGGACAAGAGGGGAGGCGGGAGGCCCCGCGGCGGACAGGAGATCCTAGAGCGGGCAAAGTCGCACCTGAGGGACGGGAGGATCACAGTGGGCATCAACGAGCACTTCGAGTGCTCCCTCCGCCTCTTCTCGAAGGCTCCCCCCGCCTGATCTCGAGGGCTGCTGGACCGCGACCCCAGCAAGCAGGCTGTCCTCCTTTCCCCCTCCCACTCCTCCTCCAGCCCCCCCCCCTCCCTCGTCTTCTGCACGCTGTTCTTCCTCGTTTACTGTTGTGGTGTATGCCAGCCCCCTCTCCCCCCGCCCTGGCCTGGCCTGGCTACCCGAAGAAGGGCTGGGACGCCGGGCGCTCGCGTGGCCCCAGTTGTGTGACACGTCTCCGCTCGCCCTCCCTCCCCTCTCTGTTGTTTGTTGTTGCTTCTCTCTCTCTCTCTCGCTCGCTTTCTCTCTCTCTCTCTCTCCCTCCCTCTCTCTCCTCTCTTCTCTCTCTCTCTCTTTCTCTCTTCCCTCTCTCCCTCTCTCCCTTATCTCACTCCCTCTCTCTCTCTCTCTCTCTTGCTCTCCTGCCTCTCTGGCTTCCAGCCCTCCCTCCCTCTGCCTCTCTCTCCCTCTCCATCCCTCCCTCTCCCTCTCCCTCCCTCTCTCCCTCTCTCTCTCTCTCTTTCCTATTTCTAGATTCCTCTCCCGCACGTGCACATCTACACGCACACTCCCCAAGCAGTGCGCTCGCACCGAGCGGGCCTTACCACTCCTCCTATAGGGCAGCCGAGGCCCAGCGGCGCTCCGGCCGGCCCGCGGCCGCCCGCCACGGCCGCCGCCGCCGCTGGGAGCCGAGCCCCCGGCGGCGGTCCGGCCGGTCTGTGGCCGCACGTCGCCGCCGCCGCCGCCGGCGAGAGGGGGGGAGGAGGGGGAGGAGGGGGAGGAGGAGGAGGGGGAGGGAGGAGGAGGAGGAGGAGGAGGAGGAGGAGGAGGGAGGAGGAGGAGGAGGAGGAGGAGGAGGGAGGAGGAGGAGGAGGAGGAGGAGGAGGAGGAGGAGGAGGAGGAGGGGCCCCCAGCGGCGGTCCGGCCGGCTCGTCGCCGCCCGGCGCGGCCTGCCCCGCACTGCTCCTGCGCGGCCTTGGCACGGAGCTGCGCACTGAGCTGCGCACTGCTTTTGGCACCACGGCTCGGCCTTGCGTTTTTCGCACTGCCCTGCGGGCGAGCTGCATATACTGCTCTGCACGGCGTGTTGCCCGCACGAGGAGGCACCAGTGGATGGCGCCGCAGATGCCACCCAGATTGCGCCGCGCGCACTGCATGAGGTCTTGGTTTGGGATCCACGCCGGCTAACGCAAATGTCTGTCATATTTAGCACATCTCTCTCTCCTTCGTCTCTGTCTCTCTCTCTCTCTCTCTCTCTCCCTCTCTCTCTCACTCTCTCACTCTCTCTCCTTCTGTCTCTCTCTCTCTCTCTATCTCTCTCTCTCTCTCTTTCTCTCTTTCTCTCTCCCTTTCCCTCTCCCTTTTCTATCTCTGACTCTCTCTCTCTTCCTCTCTCTCTCTCTCTCTCTCTCGCTCATAGTTGGTTATCTCCCTCTCTCCCTCTGATGTCTCTTTCTCTCTCTCTCTCTCGTTATCTCTCCCTTCTATATAAGTGCCTCATGCATCTTGTACGCAACATATGTACCATCCATGTCTCTCTCCCTCTTTCACCACCCTTCATATATGCAAGTGTACACACCTGGAATATATCCGTAAGGGTTTCGCCCCCTGCCGCCAGCCCCCTCTCTATCATAATGGGATATATCAGAGTCGCGTCGGTGCGTCTCGGCGCTACCTTGGCGCATCCGGGAACATCGTGCGGGGGCGGATAAAAGTCATAAGCGCATCTCGAAACGTTGGCATCATCGAAGACGCCTACAGCGAATCACCGCCGCCCCGCGCCCTTGTGGAAGCGCCTATGTGGCCGACAGCTGGGCTAAAGCTTGGCCAAGCTATCGTGCCAGTTATTCCCGGAGTCGGTTTGGAAAGCCTTCGGGGGACGCATGGGGGAGCAAGAGGTTTGAAATCGCCCATGTGTCCGAACGTTGTGGCGAGAGCTCTGCCAAACCATCGGACCATGTGTTCCCCCAGACGGTTGTGAAAACCCTTCGGAGAACATTTGGGGGAGGATGGCGGGAAAGATCAGGAGGAGAAGGAGGAGGAGGAAAAGAAGGAGCAGAGTACTGAGGGGAATCTGGTGGTGCTCCCGTTGTGGAGCCTGGACCGTACGTGTTGCCAAGAAATTCGTGGATCCCTGTCAAGCCCCCACAGGGAAGCAAGAAGGCGATCCAGAAGCTCAGCCAAGGTAAGCTTCCGCCAGGTCTCGGGGCCTGGCCAGACGGGCCGACATGAGGCTCGTCATCGGCTGCCCTCACGCGGAGGGGACGAACCAGCTGCCGAGGCGGGCACGCGCGGAGAAGAAGGAGCAGAAGAAGGAGGAGAGGAGGAGAGGGAAGAGGAGGTGGAGGAGGTGGAGGAGGAGGAGAAGGGGAAGGAGAGAAGGAGGAGGAGGAGGAGGATGGGGCATCTTGGGAGCCTCTGGGTGCACTTTGGGGGCCTCCTGGGGGTTTCCTTGGAGCCTCTTGGAGGAGGCATCTTGGGGGCCTCCTTGGCCGTCTCAGGGCATGCCTGGCCCGTCCGGTTCCGTCGGAAGCCGTCTTGGGAGACTTTTTGGGCCGACTTGAAAGCTTCTTGGGGTGCTCCAGGGCCGTTTGGGGGCTCTCCTGAGGCCGTATTGGAACGCATATTGGGCCGTTCGGGGGCCGCCCTGGAGGCCCCTTATGCGATGACGCAAATGCCACAAGCTTCAAAACAAAAAAACCTAAGGAACATCAGTGATTTTAGCATAGTCGGGCCTTCCTGGAGGCTCTCTTGTCGGGCCTTCCTGGAGGACGCGTTGGAGGGTTCTTGGGCCGTCTTGGAAGCCGCTTGCGGGCTTTTTTGGGGCCGTCTCGGAGGCTATCTTGGCCGTCTTGGAGGCATCTTTGAGGCCATCTTGGCTGCCATGGGGCCATATGGGGTTTCTTGGGGGCCTTTTGGGCCGTATTGGGACCTTTTTGGGGCCGCCTTGGGGGCCCCTTGGGCCGTCGTGGGGCCGTTTCGGAGGTTTCTTGGGCATTCGAGAGGCGATCTTGATGGCCTCTTGGGCGGTCTGGGGCCGTCGGCAGGCCGAAGAGGAGCAGAAGCCCATATCCTTCAAACACCCACGGGAAATCAACGATTTGGATCTATTCGGACCGTCGTTGAGGACCCTGGAAGACCTCTTCGAGGCATCGTGGGCTGGAGGCCTCTTGGAGGCCTCTGGGGCCGTCCTGGGCCGTCTTAGGTGTTTCTTGTGCGAACTTGGATGCATCCTTGACTCTCGTGGGCCGCTCTGGAGGCCATCTTGGACAATCTTGGGAGATCTTGGGCGAACTTCGAGTTCTTTTTGGGGAAAAAAAGGAAGAGAGAGAGAGAGAGAGAGAGAAACAAAAAAAAAGGATCCAGCACGCCGGGCACCCTTGCGATGAATCAACCGGGGGCGGCGGATCGAAGACGCCTGCGGCGAATCACCGCCGCGCCATGTGTTTCGGAAGCGCCTGCGCGGCCGAAAGTTGGGTTTGAGCTTGGCCAAGCTATCGGGCCACGCGTTCCCTGAATGGGTTTCGAAAGCCTTCGGGGAGCATCGAGTCGGGCGAGCAATCAGACCAGGTGGTTTCCGAGCTTTCGGGCCTCCTGGAGGACGTTTTGGAGGGGTCGTAGGCCGTCTAGGAAGCTTCTGGCGGGCCTTTTGGGCAGTCGTTGGGCATTTTCAGGCCATATGGGGCCGTCCTGGGTGCATATTTGGGCCATATTCGCCGTCTTGGAGGCCATCTTGGCCGCCTTGGAGGCCTCTTGGAGGCCATCCATGGCCGTTTTGGAGGCCATCTTGGGCGTTTGGGGGGCCATCTTGGGCCGTCTGGGCGTCTCGTTGGAGCCCTCTTCGGGGCTTCTTGGGCTGTCATCGGGACGTCTTGGAGGCCTCTTGGGCGCTTTTGGGATGATGTTGGGGGTCGTTTGAACTCTTGGGCCGTCGGAGATCGGAAAAAAGGAAGTGCCAACATCTTCCAAACACCACAGGCAAATCAATGATTTGGGCCCTGTCAGGCCTTCCTGGAGGACGTCTTGGAGGACTCTTGGGCCATGTTGGAGGCCTCTTGCGGGCCTATACGGCCATCTTAGGCCATCTTGAGGCCATCTTGGGCCGTATTGGGTTCTTTTTCGGGCCATCTTACCCGTTTTGACGGCCATCTTTGGCGTCTTGGAGGCCATCTTGGCCATGTTGGAGGCCATTTTGGGCGTGTTGGGGGCCTCGTGGGCCGTGTTGGGCCTGTCTTGGGGCAGTTTTGGGGGCCGTGTGGGTTGTCACGGGGCCAGCTTGGAGGCCTCTTGGACGCTCGTGGGTCGATGGTTTGGGCCGTCTTGGGCCGTCGGGGAGTTGAAGAGGAACAAAAGCCATAATCCTTCAAAAACCTAAGGGGAAACCACTAATGTTACCTTTTTTTTTCTGGCCTTCCTGGAGGGCGTCCTGGAGGGGTCTTGGGCCGTCTTGGAGGCCTTTTTGCGGGCTTGTTGGCCAATCGCAGGCCATCTCGAGGCCATCTTGGGCCGTCTTGGGTGCATCTTGGATTTGGCCGCCTTGGAGGCCATCTTGGCCGTCTTGGAGACATCTTGGAGGCCACCTTGACAGTCTTGGAGGCCATCTGGGGCTTCTTTGGGGCCTCTTGGGCAGTCTTGGGGCCTTTTGGGGGGCCGTCTTGGGGGCCCCTTGGGCCGTCTTGGGGCAGTCTTGGACGCGTCTCGGGCATTCGAGAGGCGATATTGATGGCCTCTTGGGCAATCTGGGGCCGTCGGAATCCGAAAAGAAGCAAAAGCCACCATCCTTCAAAACCATAGGACAATCATCGATTTTGACTTCAGGCCGTCCTTGAGGACCCTGGGGGGCCTGCCTCTTCGAGGCCTCTTCGGCCGTCTTGGAGGCCTCTTGAAGGCCTCTGGGGCCGTCCTGGGCCGTCTTAGGTGTTTCTTGCGCGAATTTGGAGGCATCCTCTTGGCGGCGGTTTCGGTGCCTCTTAGGGGCCTCTTGGGGCCTCGTGGAG